GGCGTGTCGAGGAAACAAAACCCCCAATATTAAATATAGGCACTGATTTTTATATAGTTCTGGATTGAAGAAATGGCCAAGTGCTAGAAAACAAAACAGAACCCTGGAATAGTGAATGGGCTGTCAAATTATGGTATGTCTACCTGTCCACTACGGTGCCAAAGGGCCAGGTGATTCAGACACACAGCAACCTGGTGACTCCCACAGGCGAGAAGTCACTATCAGACACACAGCAACCTGGTGACTCCCACAGGCGAGAAGTCACTCTCAGCAGCTCACATGACATGCGATTCATTTATATGACAGCCTCAGACAGAATTTCAGGACAGACAGCAGGTCAGCGGTCACTGGGTGCTGGAGGGTGTGGTTATAAAGAGGTGCTTGTTCTGGGGGAACAAAGCGTTTCTGTATTTTGATCGTGACGGTGGTTATGTGCGTCTGTACACGTCTTAAAATTTCCAGAACTGTACCACAAATAAAAGCCGATTTTACTGTTTATTAATTACTAAGTTATATATAAAGGGGTTATCCATCTTCCATCTTCCATGCTTCCTTCTGAGGGGGCTATGTCATTGTGACGCAGCAGTCAGTGACTTTTCTAAGCTTCTGTAAGTTGATATGCGACTTGTTTTGCAAGCATGTAATCATTATGGCATATATTGTTTTGCCACTTTGTTTTTCTATATTGTGGGCATATTTCCAAATTAACAAATATAGTTTACCTACAGTAAAAAATTTAAAAATGAAGATTCTAAACATAACTTTTTAATTAATGAAAATAAAAAATATGTTAATTGTAGAGTTGATCACTGGTACTAGAAATATGGGTTAATTTTTCCCTTCATACTTGTCCAAACTTTTAAAAACTTTCATCACCAGTAAGTGTTACCTCCTTGTGACACTGAAGAAGAAGAATCAGGCCTGTGGAGAATCTTGCCCATCAAACTCATAGCAGTGCTTTCTTCAAAAAGGAAACCACAGGCCCCAACTGGAATCCTTTACGCTAAGCCCCACCAAGACTTACTACGCAACTAAGTGCATTTTCAGCCTCTTCCAAAACCGGAGTTTTAAACCTCTCCACCTGGGATTTCCTGTCAGTGCTGTGAGGTACCCTGAAGACCCCCAGTTTCCCCCTAGAGGAAGGTGACTTTGCCTGAAATAATCTTCTTTCCTTTTGCTAAGAACTTTGTCCCTTTCCCTTTCTGACCATAAAACTCTCCCACTCCACACCACGCCTCAGCACTTCCCCCCATCGTCCGACACATGAAAAAGAATCGCTGGTCAAGTGAATTATATTAGTACATTTATTTGGCTGACAGTGTTTTTTAGAAGTTTATAAAGATGTTGAGCGATCCTAGGCTCAATCACTTAGTGTAATCAATAGCTTTAAGTTATGTGTCTGGCAAAGCTGCAAAACTGAAAAGTGCGTGGGGAGAGGCGGCCCTCAGGCGGAGGGACACGAGTCACATTCCTGTCACCGACGCCTCAAGAAGAGGCGCTCACCGTGTGGGCGACGCCAATGCTGAGGCTCAGGACGGAGACACGTAATTTGTGTCCACTGCGTAAGAGGCTGCAGCTACACAGCAGCTAAAGACCAGAGAAGCCCCGACGCCCCTGGAAGCGAGTTCCCTGGAGGACAGGTCCAGCCCCGGACTCTCCATTTGCTGAGTGAACGATTGCAGTCCCAGGAGACGGGGAAGTCAACCCCGCCCAGCGACAAGTGCTAGCGGCGAGGGTCTCAATTCTCACGAAGGCGAGAAGGAAATTTGAACCCTGTCCAAAAGCCAGCAAATGCTTCGTATCAAGTCTGGACCATCAGACGGTAGGGGAATGTGTGGGTTCCCCTCCTCCTGTCACAAGAAGCTACGAGAAGTTTCCACTGGCTTGGTGGGGGGGGGGGTGTGTGCAGCTGACTAGTTTCCTTGGAGAATTAACCGGGAAGTTTTCTTAGAAGTAAATGTGGGTGTTTTGTGACTCTCCTTTCTATGAACCAGTGATAAGCCCACTGAACTACCCCCAGTCCAGAAGAGACCAGTCATAGTGACGGAAGACTTCAAAGCCTCAGTCATTCCTTCACAGGTGCCTTGGAGAAGACCGGCATCGCTCTATGGGAAACATGGTCCACTGGCCTGTAAGCATGCAAATTAATTCACCACTTTCATCTTACCTTTCAAGATCTGTCCTTATGGCAGAAACATAGACATTTAAATGAAAACAGCCTGAGAAATACTACTCCCAAGGCTTGCGGGAAGGACATGTGTGACCAGCAAGCCTCCTTCTCCCTCAGGGGTCAGCTGCCACAGTTCACAGACCAAACTGGGCCAATGGCCTGGTTTTGGGAGTTCTAGGAATTGTTTCTGCATTTTTAAACAGTTGGGAGAAAAATCAAAATTAGAAAACTCACAGAAGATACTATGTCATGATGTGTGAACATTATATGAAATTTAGATATCTGTATCCATGAGGGAACTTGGCCACAGCCACGTCTTCGCAGTACAATGGCAGATGAGCGGTTATGATGGGGATTATGTGGTAAAACCCCTACCTGGCCCTCTGGAGAGTTTGTGGAGCCGGTTTAGTGACTGTCGCCCAGTGTGCTATGTAAGTATTTCAATGGTTTAAACCAGTTCAGGGGATGCTGGGACCGTTTCTAACCGTAAGACCTCTCAGGGCCTTCGCCGCAGATCTCACTGGATTCTTGCCAGACTCTCCTGACCTCTGTGGCCGGGCGTCTCCCAGACGAGAGGCTCCTCAGGGGCAGCCGACAGAGGTCTTGATAAGTGGGCGCTCGTGTCCACTGGCCAGGGGAGTTTGCCCAGTGTACCTTACGGGCATGTGAATTTTACCCTCTTAGCCTTCCCTCTTTGCTTTGGCTGCTAGGAAACTCAGAAAGAAAGAAAGAGAGAGAGAGAGAGAGAGAGAGAGAGAGAGAGAGAAATAGTGATTTGGCACCAGCCTCTAAAGTGCCTCTAGAGGATCTTATCTGTAATTTAAATTTTGTGAACTAACCTTTATCTGGGTCATGCCTGATTTTCCTGCTCATTTCGTTTGCCCCACATCCTGCATTTTTTAAAATTTGCCTCATCATATGTATATTGGCAAGCTATCTTAAGTCATTTTTTAAAAACAGGCCACTGGGCTGACAACATTTCAGACTCAAGTGTTGAAGGGCCCCGGATGAGAGGCGCTAGGTGGGGCGAGGAGAACTGCCGGCAGAGGGCCCCTGGAGGCCGGCCAGTCCTGGCTCGGCAGCGTGGGCTCCCCGCTTGCTCTCCCACGGCGGGAGACGGGGAGAAGCGAGGGAGCCTGACACACCCCGGGCCTCCTCCCGTGCTGCCAGCCGGTGGCCGAACCTGTTGTCACCACCACAGTTAGGTCAGCCACGATGTGGTGCGAGAGGGCACCGTCTGCTGAGGCCACGGCAGCTGGCGTGGCCCTCGGGAGCGCCGACCCGCGGTGGCGCACCATGCAGCTCTTACTCCCTCTAACACCTTGGCTTTTACTGGCTCCTTTCTGGAAGGCTCTGGCCTCACAACCTGCAGGGAGCAGCCTGGGCTGCTGGCACTGGACTGTTTAGAGGTCAACAGCAGTTAGGAAGAAGCTAACCCCAACCCATGGGAGATAAAGTGCCCGGCAAGGGGTGGGGGGAGGGCGGGCCCCAGCTCAGGCTACTGACTGAAGGACTGGCAACTTTTTAAAGCAGCAGAACACGGCTAAGGTTGTTTAGCTCAAAACCAGTGGTGTGGGAAAAGAACACACGAGGAGTAAATAAAAGCCTTCTGTCAGGCTGGCCAGGAATCCCAGGAGATAACAAAAGCTCAGAGAGAATCTCTGCTCCCCCGGCCCGTGTCCTCCTCTTCCTCGGGGCAACCACAGCTCTGCCTCCTGGAAGCTGGAAGCAGCCCTCCAGTCTCCACAGCAACTCGCCGCCGTGTCACCATCCGCCTCACTGGAGGGCCACCGCGAGAAATGGCTCTCACAGGTCACGGCTGCTGCCAGATGAGTCACCTTCGTCACGTGTCTGATCAAAGCTGCCATCAACTCCTGAGTGAAACAGGGATTCAGCTCACACTGGGTAACCGTGGCCACGCATCCCCGGCACGTTCTCAGCCCCACCGTTCTCGGCGCCCTCGGGTCTCTGAAACGCTGCTCGTACTGCGCTGGACATTTACCCCAGCTGGCCAGTGCGTGGGCACTTCCTCGCTTTGAAGGCCTGGCCACGGTGCCGTCTCTGCCTCAGGGAGCCGGCCTGGCTCACTGGCACC